GGAAGGCAGGCAGGCTGGCTGGCTGGCTGGCTGGCTGGCTGGCTGGCTCTTTGATCATGTTAGCAAGAATTACAATATTAACAGAGTACATGAAATAGTTTTTCAGTCATGCTGTAGTTCCAATGGAGAAAGTTTTAGAACAGCAGAAGATGCAAACAGGGGAACAGAAGTAGACATTTGCTGTACAAGGATAACTCACCCTTTGTTCAGTGCTATTTTTACCAACGGAAAGGAATCCCGTTCTGATTGATCTGCCCCAGAATTTCATTGTACTTAGAAGTCACAGTGTTGGCTCTACTTGTCAGTTGGCTGAGGACATGATATAAGCCAGATATGTGATACTGAAAGAGTCCTTCAAGATCTGTCTTCTCTGTAGCTTCTTCCCTGGAGCTGAGATTCTTGTCATTAAGAGGAGGTAGGCCGTTCTCAACCATTGACTTGATGGATTTTAGAAGCGTGTAGTGTTCATACAGATCTCTGTCGCTGGAGCATTTCGTATTAGAATTGTCTTCAACTATATTTTCCTGATTTTCCAACAACACCCCCTGGAGAAGGCTGGGAAACATCACCGTTTGCTCCATGTTACGGACAGCGGAGAAGTATCTTTGCATGAGGATTCTCTCTCCATAGTGATTCTCCATGGCTGGATTCTCAGGGACTGAACCTTCTTCTCCTTCAAGCTAGGTTGGCTGTGAGGATGCCTAGCTCTTGATCTGGAAGGTATCAATTTATATACCAATGCCCAAATCCTGGTCTCTGTCACCAAATATGATTGGGGTGGTTTTATGCCATTGGTTGTTCAATACCAAGTTCAGGGAATTTCAAGATTGAGGGAGTGACTTGTTATGATTGCTAATGTGATTTTATTTACAGTCTGGAGTCATTTCCAAACTCTTGCTTGTACAGTATTATTCCTTGACCTTGCCATGTTTAGATAGTTGGCCCATAAACAAGGGGGAGAGAGCTACATTGAGTCATCAAGCCTGGCACCGCATGGATCTCTCCCAATAGCTTTTGGCTTACGAGAAACCAAGACAAGGCTGTGCAAAGTGCCAGGAAGAACATTTCATCATTTGTCCCATTTGTGAAACCGGTTCATCTCACCGTTGGCTGAGGACCATGAGACCAGAGCACCCACTGTTTGCAGAAGGGTTATCCAATCACCGCAAGAGACAAGACACAAGTCAGTACAGTAATCTATGTTTGGCTCTAGTTGTTCCTTCAGTCTTGGTTTCTTCCAAACACTTATAACAGGATTGGGTAGCCTGTGGTTGGCAAGCTGGAAATGGATCTTGGCACCCATTTTGTGGCTTCAATAGCCCCCCACCTTCGAGTTTAAGAAGAATCAGAAAGAGGAACATTACCCCACCTGCTTTGATTTACTTATTGCTATAATTTTTAAAAAATATGGAAATACAGCATGCTGTTACAGCAGTGGTTCTTATATCACTCTATATTTGCAACACGTATACCCCAAACACATTTTAGAAAAGAAAAATGGGAGTGGGAAGAGCTACAATCCATTGCTTTCTTCAGAGGTGTGTCTACTTGCCCAGAAGAAATGTCCATGGTCAGGAATGCCCATAGGATGTGGTCAAGAAAACCAAGATGGAATGATTGAAGCTTTACCTGTTTTTATGGGCATCACCCATAAAATTCCTGAAACTAGGGGTCCTCAATTTTGGGGGCTCGGGGGTCAATTTGGAATTTTCAAAGCATGTCATAGGCACTCTTACAAAATGGCTGCCAGGGAGTCTAATTCTTCCATTAACAGAAAGGATCATTACCGAGGTTCCTCCCTGTCGCCCCATCTAGTTTAACCTTTTCTCCTCTTCCATCTCTCTTACTTCCTTTTAGTTTCACCTAGCTAAAGGTGAATAACTTTTCCCCAAGCAAAGCCGTTATTTTGCAGCAGATCTGGGTCAAATGGAATGCTCCTGTTCAGTCTATCTTCTCCTCCATGACCTTGATCTCTCAGGCTGTTTTTGAACGCTGGTGCAACGTCCCTCCGAAGAAGTGCTAGTCCTGTTCTCAAAGGGAGCCCAGCAAACATTTTGTGAGAGTGCCCGTGACAGGTTCTCAAATTTCTAAAAATCCCACCAGCCACCCAGAGTGGACAACCCTGGGTTATTCTTAGGTTTGGTTTTATTGGGCCGTGTTAAGCTTCAGGGTTTAATGACCGTGAGAACAGATTTCCCTGGCTGGCATCTCTGAAGATGCCAGTTACAGTTGCTGGTGAAACATCAGGAAATCTGTTCTCTAGACCCTGGTCACTAAACCCTGAAGCCCAACAGATACTGTCCGTGAAAGCCTACCTCAGTATATTGTTTGGTATTTATTTACTTATTTATTTATTTATATTAAATTTATATGCCACCCATCTCCCCCAGAGGGTGACTCTGGTTTTATCTCCATCAGCAACCATTCTACTCGAACAAAGGGCAAAGCACTGAGGTTTTCTTCAATGCTTGTTTCCAGTTGGGTCTTCTCCTGCCAGGAGAGTCGTCTGGACATTAAACTCAATATATATTTGAAAATAAATACTTAGCCAAAGATGGGTGTGGGTGTGGGTGTGTGAGGATCTGCCACTGAGTCTTGACTCTGAAGCATTTAATGGGATTGGCCACCTGCATAACTTACCAATATTTGTGGCTGTGGTCATATGTGTTTAACCAGATTATAAATGAAACGGCCAATAAATCTAAGCACAGTTGACTTTGTTAGCTGCTATCAAGCTTCACCCACACGGCGACTCCAACTAGAAGGCTCATGAGCAGAGATGCAAGGGCACAGCTCTTGATCGGACAGGCTTACCACCGATATAAGAGAAGCCATGGGAACAACCGAAACCAGCTCTCGCGAACTGCAGGACTCAAACCATTATATAGCAGACCCATGGTTGAAATCTTAGCGCTCTTCAAATCCCCTAAACCATGTCACACAGCAAAAAGTTAAAGATCTGTTCTCTCTTTTCAGAATGTAGGGTGTGGAGTCACTCCAAATAATCAGAAAACTGTTTCTAACAATGAAAACAGGTCAACAGCGGAACTTATTCCCCAGATAGGTGGAAGGCTTCACTGAATATTCTCAAGCAGAAGCTGGTCGTGATCAACTTGGGGTGCTGTAATCTGGATTTTGCACGGAGCCATCTGTTGGCCTAGGGATCTCTTCCTAACCACAATAACACCGAAATGAGAAAAACATGCATCATGGCACCATGATGCAAACTCCATGCTTTCACACCTGTGTTGTGACATGGCTTGCAGGTGTTTAAAGACTGGAGTTTGCTTGTGATATTGCAACACACATTTCACCACTCCTCCTCTTTGCCCTCCACGGATTCCTATGTCTGTCAAAGGTGCTATAATCCAATAGCTGAAACGGTTTTCATGGTCCTCTTCAACTCCAATTCTACAGTAAATGCATTCAGTTTGCAATCTGCACCTTCTTGATGGGATTCATATCAGCTAAGCTTTCCTGGCTGTTAAATTGTGTGAAACTAGCCACTATGATTCATAGGCCATGATCTAGGACTCTGCATGTTTTGGGAAACCAGCTAGTTGTTCATTCAGTAAACTGTGCTTCAGCAAAGCAAGGTTTGTCTTGATGCAAGAATCTTGAAATGGCAAAATTCATGGCTAAAATACTGCCCTGGGCCAAAGTATGGACATTTCTCCTTCTCTCAGCCCCTATAAAATTTTACCACCTAACCTGATGAAAATAACTTGAAAGTTTGCACATTGTTTTGTAGCAATTAACAGGTCTTAATACACATATTTACCAATTCTGAATTTTGGATTTTTTTTCCTTATGGACAAACACAGTTAACTTTGGTTTTAATTCAGATGATATCCATCAGGAATTCCAAATTAATCAGGTCTATTTGCAAGTGATGAAGCTCTGAGTCCCATAAATATCAATGATGGGACCCACAAGATACAGGAAAGGAGAAATAAATGTCTGCAGGCATCAAACCACGAACAGTGTGGTGTTCTGGAACCCTGGCTAGAAAATGGATGTTGACATAGCCATGTGGAAGCTCTTAACACCCCTGGATACATCATGCAGAAGGCCATGTTTTCCCTGCTGCAAAGGGTTGTTCCAGTGATCTTCCTCTTTCCTCCCTTTTTCTATCTGAACGGGTGAATTACTCTAGCATTGCAAGCCATGAATCGTTTAACGATGGTTTCCAAGTAAGACCCAGGGGCTAGATTCACAAAGCATGTTAACGCCAGGAATAAGAAACCAGGGGACCTAAGGAATGCACAGTGGTGTCTGAAAGCAGCCTTGGAGCCTTGCACCACAACCTCTGTCTTTTGGGGCATGTGTGCGACATTGCGATGCGCCTAGGAAAGGGCCGAGCCTGCACTGCAAAGCCACAATGCTGCTTGCATCACCCTAGCTCGCTCCTTCGCCATGGAAGCCCCTGGGCCCCGTGTGTCCCTTGAGTTAATTGCATGCAAATCCTGGGTTTAATTCCAACCCCTTCCAAAAGGTCAAAAGCTATCTATCACCCAGGAGAGAAGAGGGGCAAAAGATGTCAACCATTCCTTTCATGGAGGGGGCTGTCGCCGACCCCGCCAAAGAAATTTCCTCTTGAAGAAACTGAAGACATTGCCCACCGCGTCTGAGCCATACGCCAGCCTTCACGAACACCGTGAAGTGGGGCCACGGGTGGTCCCAACAAAATCAAACCAACCATATTGTCGCTTAGCGGGAGGGGTGGACTTGGTCAGTAGGTTTGGAGAACGAAGGGGCAGGCAGAAGAGATCCAGGAAACCCCTGGAGGAAAGCAAGTCCTCTCTGGATTGCTTCAGACCCAGGAAAACGCTCAACCGTTCCAGCCTTCGGCAGCCCAAAACTTCATGATTTGTGATATGGGTTTCCAAAGCGTTCAGCTGTGCAATATCAGTTTAGTGACACAGCTGTGCAATATTAGCACAGTGACACGGCCACCCCGAATGAGCAAAACAAACAGAGGGCCATCAGCTTCCCCCCTGCTCAAGACAGATTTCACACTCCGGGGATGTCTCCATTTTCGAAGAAGGTTCTTGTCCCCAGTTGGGGTCATCAACACTGAGCTGACTGCTCAGCCTGACGCGGTTGGATGGGATGGTAACTGTTATGGATCTGTCTTATCATTTGGGGATGGGAGAAGTCTGCAAGCAGGACACCCGTGATATGGGAGCGGTGTGGGGGGGTCAAAAAAGTCAAGATGGCAGTTGCAACCAGTGGTCGAAGCCCCGTCCCCTGTCCATGGGCTTGTAGATAAAAAAGGGGTGAGGCTTTGATTGTGTGATTGTGAGTGCCACCTTGACTTTCTCGATGCCCCCCACCGATGCTGCTTTGGGCAAGATTGCATTTATCTCTGCTTGGAAGAATCTAAAACCAAAAAACACGGGAAGTGTCAAGAAAAGCACCTGTGTGCACAGCAGTCCCTTTGAGCTTCACGTTGACTGCCCCAGATTTAACTCAACTCAACATCAACTCCTTACCCATGGTTAACTGAACCCCGGTTAAGCCAATTAACCCCACGTTTAAGTTCCCACAACACACTAAACATATGCTATTCATCTTGACCAGGTTCACACAGTGGACTAGTCTGAAGGTCTATAACAAGGTTCTATGTACTGTGTGAACA